TGAAAAAATAGCACAGTACAGGAGAGATGGGGTCAGCAGCTAAGAGTGCTTGTTGGTCTTTCAGAAGAGGGAGTTTCAATAGCCAGTGCTTACATGGGTGTTCCCAAGTATTCATAATTCCAAGTCTAGGGATTCTGCGGACATCTTCTGATTGTTGTATCAGTCAGCAGTGTCATGTATATCTGTGCATGCAGGCATTGATTCATATTTACTAAAACAAAATTAAAAATTCACGAATGGGGGCTGGAGAGATGGCTCAGTGGTTAAGAGCATTGCCTGCTCTTCCAAAGGTCCTGAGTTCAATTCCCAGCAACCACATGGTGGCTCACAACCATCTGTAATGGGGTCTGGTGCCCTCTTCTGGCCTGCAGGAATACACACAGACAGAATATTGTATACATAATAAGTAAATAAATAATTTAAAAAAAAAATTCACGAATGGTGGTAAGACTGTCACACACCTGTCATCCCAAGACTCTGGAGGCTCCTACAGTCTTAAGGTCATTTATGTAAGACACGCTGGAATAAAGAATTACACACTCTGAGAATGTTCAAGGTCAAGATATTGGTAAAGCACAGCAGAACAGTATGTGCTTCACATATACAAAACCATACATTCTAGGCCAATCTGCCAATAATTTAAAAATGAAAAAGCAAGGTGTGCTGGAGCATACCTTTAATCCCAGCCCTGTGGAGGCAGAGGCAGTTAGACCTTTGGGTTCCAGGACAGCCTAGACTACAGAGATACTTTTAAAGAGGCAAGTGGATCTCAGTGAGTTCACATCCAGCCTGGTCTACAAATTGATTTCAAGGACAGTATAGGCTGTGCAAGGAAACACTGCCTCAAAAAACACAAAGACAAGACTACAAAAGAATCCTTGTGATCAAAAAAAGTATGTACTTTAAGAATAAAAAAATGATTAAAAAAAAAATCAAGCTAGCAAAATGACTTACGAATAAAAAGTAATTGTTCCGGGGGTATCTTTGGTAATTCACAGATATCGTCTATAATGGTGGTGTACACATAAGAACACAAGAAAAAAGGATTGTGATAAATGTTGACCACAAGAAAGTAGACACTAAGAAAAGGCTATGGGGTGAGGCTACAGACACAAAAAAATCAGATCCCTACTGAGGAACATCGTCGAAAATGGCTCCTAACACTAAAATATCAATAAGCACCCTATAGTAACCCACCAGTGAGATAAGAAATAAAGTGCTTCATATACCTGTAAGGATTTTCAATCAAGTGACTACATTCTAATTCAGGCCACTACAGGCTTATGGACATTAAATGAGGAATAATGCTGTTAATCTAACTTTAAGTGTACCAAAATTTTGGAATATGCCTACAAGACAATACACTTTCCACCTCTCTTTCTCATTCTCAGAAATTATAATATAGACTTCAATGTTTCTATGTCACTGGACTGTATGATCCTCACACTAACCCTGAAAAGATAGTTATTATCAGCAGTTTGGCTGTGTTAGCACCGTAAATAAAAAACTGTGGCTTGGCCACCCTGACCATTAGTCTGGGGTCATTGAGACTGGGTCTGTAGTATGTTATGAGAAAGTTTCAGCTAGAGATGAGAAAAACTGAGGTAGGATAACCTCTGTGGAGGTTTGGTTGCAGAGTAGGAAGTAGGAGTTTCTGCCACTTATAAAAATGAAGAACTCAGGAAGAAGAAAATACCAGTGACAGGAGAATATGTTCAGGGCAGGAGGGAGGTGAGCTTCCCCATGTGAGTAACCTATAGGTACTGGACCTTCTGATTGACCTTGCTGCTATTTGCAATGTTGGCTGCTGTGATCTGTTTCCTAACACATAGGAATAGCCAATGGGCGACTTGTGTCTCAAACCTCTCAGCCTGGTTAACTGTTTCAACCTGAATTGCTCATACCCCCCATCAGAGAGATGTATAACTGGAAACTATATTCATTAGCTCAAGCTACTCTCATCAAATTGTACACCCCTCAATCTGGTCTGCTTTCATTCACAGGGCACGAATTAACAAATGTTGAAAAATTACACAGAAGATCATTCAGTCTGACCCAATGAGATCCTTCTTCACAATGGTGAGTCCGTAGTGGACTGCCTTAACCTTCACTCTGTGCTCTCGCAATTACCTAACCTGTCGCCTCCTGTAGTCCACACAACAAATGATTCCTTCTATTCTGCTCTGAAGGCAGAAACCATGCTCCACATGAAAGCCCTTTTCCTATTTCTTCAAGGGACACTCCACTACATGATTCAAATTGGTAATTTTACAAATATAAGAGGACAGCCTTTTTCTTGAAGAATTGAGAAATTTAAATGCGCAGACAGCAAGGTTGGTCCTTGAGGAGCAACAGACTGGGTTCAAGATCACATAAGTCAATGTAACAGAGCTTGTCTCAGAAATATCTTTCTACAAGGCTCGAGTTGCAACTGTGCTAGATTAACATGTGCTTACAGGAAGAAAACACTGCGCATACTTCAGAGATAATAATGTAGAATCTCTGTAATAATACTGTGCATGGCCTTCTGACTACTGCTCAACAAGGAGCCAGCCTGGATCAGATTGTGCGCTTCACCTATGCTGTCCTCCTTAAAGCTCCTTTAGGTTCAGGTCCCAAGTGATATTTGGAGCATGTTAAACAGGGACAGGAACTGTAAGGAGGCTGCCACTCAGGCAGATGTTAGATTTACACAGCAAAGATATTCCCAGAAGGATTTCTTAAGTCCTCCAGTTAGCTGAAACAGCAGGCCTTTCTTCAATGACTGTGTCCTGATGGGGAGATGCCAGGAAGACGGGATGATAGAAAAGATAAAATCTGGGGTAGGAGGTCTTGCACAATCAATCTTAGGCCAAGGAAGCTTCTTAAAAAGAACAGCATTTGTCAACTACTTCCAGAGCAGAAACCTTAGGAAATGGGAAGCTTCCATGAAGCAACAGGAACTCTAACACAATGGAATTCCTTCAGGAAGAGCTAGAGCAAACAAGGTGGCATAAGGGATACCTAGGGTGTCTCAAATGTATTCTGATCAAGTCCACAGCAGTCATGGAATTCATAATCAGACTCATGTGCTAGGGAGAGTTAAGATTCGGAGGATCTGAAGCAGCCTCTCTCCTAAGGCCCTGGCTAAAGACCTTTATCAGATCTCCTAAGCACATTCCTGGTTTAAAAGCAGGAACTGTTTTTTGCTCTACACCTTGGGGACTTATGCAAAGCTGAAAGGGCTAGGCCTCAGGCTGTTATTGGCTCTAGGAGGTATGGTCCAAAGTTTGAGAAGTTATGTTCCTTCTCTACATAGTGGAAAGCAGCAACCGAGCAGGCCAGCCCTCAACACACCACTTCATCCATTTCTAATATTGTTATGCACAGTGTTGTTCCCCATCGGCACAACTATGCTTTTTTGCATGAATGGAGGTATAAGGAACACCTTAATGGGTGTTCTAACCCTGTAATGCTCTTCTGAGAGGCTTTTCATAGGCTTGCTCTTGGATATAGGATGGAACTAGTGGCTGGTAATAAACCAGAGTTTTCTATTTTGTTACAGTTTGCAATCACATGCCTGGTTCATCCTAGTGAACATACAGTTACATCCTGGTGTATTTATACTTACATCTTAACATCCTAATCTCTAACAGGCCTGGTTAGCATATGACTTAACTTTGCCACAGATTGGAAGCAGACCTGTTACGAATCGATCCTATTTAGTGTGACTTTCTTTCTTCTAAGCTTTGGTAAATCCCTTCTATCTTCAGTTTCACTTCTCTACATCACAGCACAATAGTGGAGCCTTATCCAACCCAGGACATGTGTATAACATCCATAAAATAACTCCAAATGGATTTTACAAGTATATTTTAAATGTGAATCGCTTCTAGAAGTTCTTAGAGAAACTAGGCGTTTCTGAGTATGGCAACTTGATTTTTAGATACCCAAAGCATGGTGACATTAATAACCAGGTTGTGTCAATACTCAGTCCCCTGTGTCTGGTACCCCAAGAAATTCTTTTTGCCAAGGTCAGTCACCTAGACAAATGCCGTCATTTCCTCAGGGGATTGAAGAAAGTGCCTACCTGAAACAAAAATTCAAATCACACAACTCCTCTCTGGCTAGAGGGTCTATGGCTCTGCCAGAACGGTGATTGTGTGCCTATTAACTTGTCAAGGCCAATGTTAGCCTCTAGGCTCCCTGCTTACAAGGCCCACTTCAGCTAACAACCCTCTTTTTCTGCTCCTATCTAACTCTGGAAACACCCATCTCTAATGAGCATAGTAAAAACTGGCTTTCTGACATGTAAAAACAGCTTAGTCAAGAGCCCCACTGCATGGAAGGCTTTACCAGACAAACAGAATTCAGAGACCCATTCACTTGGGATAACAAGATAGTCCTTGAACCCCATGACACCCACTGGACAGTATATAAGCAGAGGTCAAGAGCAATGCTATGCTCTGGTCATCTGGTGAGAGGTCACCTTGATCTGTCTCAGGGCTGGAGAGTCTACCCCTGGATCCTGATGCTTCCTTTTTCAGATCAGAGACTTGTGTGAAGACAGGACCTGACTTTCAGGTTAGAAAAATGGCAGAGGATAGCAGACTTTGGGAGAAAGGTTTTGTCCTTCAGTTGGGAATTTAGAACGTGAACCTTGTATGAGCACCCTAGCATAATAAAATACAACTTTTGTTGTAATGCGTGCATCTACCTTTTTATTCTTGACACCAGTTTCAAATAAACTTTTCCCTTTCTCCCCAAACAGCAGCAATTTCAATTTCACAACTGCACCCGCTTTCATTCACCCTGCTCCAACTGCTCTAAGCAGATGGAGACCCAGATGGAATGTTATTCAGAGGCTACAACCCTGGCCAGCGAGATGCAAGGACTTTATAGAATGCCATTTTTGGCTGCCTGCCTCTGCCCGCTGGGGGAAGGGGCAGAAGCTAACCACGTGGCTCCCAAGGCTCAGGCATCCACTCCTCCCCGCCTGAACAGAGCAGCACCTCACTCACCATGTCGCAGCTTCCGAGCTCTCCCTGGCCCCACACAGCTCCCTGCAGCACTGCTCTCAGCACAACACCACAGCGCACGCGCTTGCTCAGGTACGGATACTAGCCTGCACCGGAAGTCTGGAAGAGCCCACCCGCTCACCTTCTGACTGGCGGTCTGCCTCGAGATCCTGATTGGCTATTGATGTCTGAGTGACAAGAGCACCTCCCTTAGTGTTAGATTGTACTCTAGGACTAAGCAAACTGGGTTCTGGAAAGGCCCAGACCTTTCCCAAACTGCAGTGATTTGCATTTCATTTGTACTTACTTGGGGCCTCCAATTGCTGACACTTTCCTCTTCCAGCTTTCCTTAAGCACTTTGCCTCTTTCCTCCTGGTGGTTAGTTTGTACAGCTCACTGCAAAATGTGCAGTGGAGTGTTTTTTTCTGTACCACAGGTATTAATGTGCCTGGAATATTAACAATTAAAAGAGATTTTAGGACTCCAAACAAGAGTGGCTTCATGCTGAGTTTAGGCAAACTGTCCTTACTTTTTACCTAGCAGGTGCAGGGTCTTCAGAATACACTGAGAAAAAAGTAGGAGCCAGAGCACAACACTGTGATTAGTCTGGGCTGGATGATGGCTCCATTCCCGTAGGAGTTTCCTTCCTGAAATCCAAGTCACTCTCTTGAAAATGAATACTAATGCAGAGTATAGTCTCCAAGTTACCAGAGTACATAGAGACAAATAAGGTGAGGAGCCCTATTGTTAGTCAGCAGATGTTTCTGTGTGCAAAGGTATTCCCAGGAATTCCTAAGAAATAGCATCTAATGCCAGTAAAGGACAGAACTGCTAGTCAGATCTAGGCCAAGTAGGGAGAGAGAGAGAGAGAGAGAGAGAGAGAGAGAGAGAGAGAGAGAGAAAGAAAGAGAGAGAGAGAGAGAGATTGAGAGATTACTTTTTCAATGTCCTTTATATATTTAGGTTGCCAGAAGAAGTTGGGGCCCTGATTTAAAAAAAAATGTATCTTTTCACCGTGACAAACCTGGATTGATGGTGGATTTTCTTACTTCACATGATTTAATTTTCAAAAATCTCTGAGAGTTAAATTCTAATGTCAGGATTTTAGTTGTTTCCGTATATGGTCAAGTTGAATAGCTATAGCAACATCCAAGACTAAAGAGCTGAGAGAGATCTCTTACCTGTGGTGGGCATGGAGAACATGGGAGCCATTTCCAAGGGAATGTTTTCCCTAAACAGCGGAGCAAAGGGGATTTCTGGACATGATACTTGGGAGATCTGCCTATTTCTCAGCTTCCTCATTGAATAAATCCACTTCTGAATGTGCTCACAACTTTAAAGCAGAGACATTTGGGCTGCATTCTTAGCTCAACGTTTTAAGATACCCAAGTTATAATAATACCTAAGTTATAATAATATCAGAAAGAAATGCCTCTAGCATGATCCTACTTTACAACACTGTCTGAGTCCTGAGTGCTGGTATTACAGGAATACAGTATCACAACCATCTTGAAAACTAAGTTTGCAGGACAGTATTGTACAGCAACTACTCCGACCTGAAAGTCTCCTTCCTGATCTGAGGTGACTTAGTAACTCTTTGTGTAGGTGAGGGGTACATGCTTAAGGCCTTTCAGCAAAAGGGAAGATATGTGCTGGTAATGCAACTTAGATCCTGTTGCAAAATGGCCCAGCTTCTCTATTTCCACAGTAAGCCTGGTCATGAGCCACATTCCAGTTCATGCAAGGACACCAATCACACCAGTGCTGTCCTCACATTTGTTCTGTGTCACAGGACTGTTCTGTCAGACTGGGCAAATCTCTCCTCCAGGTGACAGGATTTGCTTTACCTTGGTTCTGAACCAAGAATCGGGTATTAACTGGCATAATAGACAGTAACAAATATCATTAAAATCCATGCACTCTCTGTTCATTATTTTTTACTCTATGGAGGCCAAAAATAGCTGCAAATGAAACTCTTTTTCTCAGCCAGTAACTTCTAGTGAGTATGAGGGAGGGCTGTTCCTACACTCTCAGAGCCTCCTCATGGGTCTCCTTTATTTTTTCATCCTGTCTATTTACAAAGCACTTGGGTCCTTTCCATGACTTGTCATCTTTCTGACTTGAAGGTACCTTGTGGATGATGCAGACTGATGCTTCACAGAGCTTTCAGAGCAGCAGATACACACTGAGCGCATGACTGAAGCTCACAGAGCAGTAAGTTCTTTTGCTCATACTTCTTTTCAGCACAGGCATTGTCCCTTCCTTCATCATCCATGCAGACATCACTGTCCACTGGGTCCTTATCACAGCCACTTGGTCCCAGACCAGAGACTGACTAATGTTGCCCACTGGTTCCTTGACCGGACTGAGCAAGACACACTGGCAGCACATCAACTGCAGCTTTCTATACTTCAGGGAGTATTACTACCTGCTTGGGATGAACAATGATAAATATTCTGCTATCTTATATGAAATCAGTTCAATTTCCTCCCTTGAGCACTGGTGTCTAAGTCATTAAGAGAGAATCTGAAGTGTAAGATGAGGGTCTGTGGCTGGAAAGGGTGAAAGTCGAGGAAAGAGAATTTCTGAAGTGGTTTAGCTGCAGAGATTGGAGGGAGAGAGGCTGTCCCTTACAGAAAAGAAGAATTCAGAGAAAATAGCAAATTACCAACTTATGAATTACAAACCTTCGATCAAAAGTAGGTCAGATATCCACAGTGAGTCACCCAGGGTGTGTAAAACTCTCTGGAAACTCTCTTTGATACTGGCTATGATGGCTATGTTTGTTCTTTTTTTTTTTTTTTTTTTTTTTCTTTTTCGAGACAGGGTTTCTCTGTGGTTTTGGAGCCTGTCCTGGAACTAGCTCTTGTAGACCAGGCTGGTCTCGAACTCATAGAGATCCGCCTGCCTCTGCCTCCCGAGTGCTGGGATTAAAGGCATGAGCCACCACCGCCAGGCCTGGCCATGTTTGTCCTTACAGTCTACCTTGGCAGTTTGGGAAATGTTAGGAGCCAATTTCCTCCTAAAATCATTACAGGAACCATCACCCTAGGGAGTCTGCAGAGAACCCCCACACCCCTAATTGTGTTAGGAATCGGTCTATTGACAGAGCCTACCCCACACCCAAATTGGCTGTTTATGGAGAGCTATCTGTTAGCGGAACCCATCCCACATTCCAAACTATCTAAAGATCTAGGTGTGTCAACTCGTGACTATTGGCTCCTAACAGGGAAATCCTGAGAAAATGATGCATTTCCCCCTGGGGGTCCTATGGGACCACTGAGTGTCGTCTCACTTGTCAGTGTTGGTTCTCCTAAGTCACTGCTTTCCTTCCCGGAGTATCTTCTCCTGTCAGTAGTGAGCCAATGAATTCCTTTGGAAATTAGGATAAAATAACTTCCCTCAGAACCCAAGAAAAGAGAAGATGAATTGCATACACAACATTAATACATTACTACTATGATGCAAATTTAGAGAGCATACAATGCTTCTTCCTAGAATTGAGTAAGACACTTTGTTATAGAATATATGTGTCTGTGTGTGTCTCTCCGTGTATGTGTCTTTATTTTTTCCAGACTAAAGGCTAGTTTTATTTTCTCACAGTTCTTTTTAATACATCTCAATTCTGAAATATGCCAACATGTCATGTTTCTACAAGATGAACATTAGACTGATTACATAGTAAAATGTCTTTATGAGTCTTTGGTTGGGGTAAATAGAAAACAGGAAATCTCAGAGAAGCCTGTGTAAGCCAACCACTAGAGTTTTGTCATTTCAGATTCTAGTATGGCTTCCTGTTCACAAGATATCCTCTGGAGTCTTCATATTCTTCCTACGTCTCAGCCTGCCATTCTTCTGAAGTCTTTTACAGGTTCAGCTTTGCCCCTAAGGAGACAGGATCTCCTTGTCATATTTGCAAAGAGAGCCATGTTTGGGCTACCCACACACCTCATGCCTAGAGCATGACACTATTCAGCAAAGTGCCCCTGGAAGGCCTTTGGAACTTGGTAGGTGTAGTTTCCACAAATCTCAGAGTTGTAATTGATATTCGGGCCATGAAGATTATATAGACAGTGGGGGATGGGTTTGACATTCCAGCCTAGGGCAGGTTTGGGATGTTGTAAATGATTTCTTTGTCTTCATCTTCTCTTCAGTTCTCAGTGGCTTCTTCTTTTTCTTCTTGCTCTTCTTCTTTCTCGGCTTACTTTTGCTGTACATTTTCATGAATGAGCTGTCACTATTCCCCCCAAATCTCCACGTATCCATAATTTGAACTTCCAGAAAAGCAGTGTCTTTGTTCCTTTCAGTGTCTTTTTTGTGCCCTTTGGTTTGGGACTTTTGGCTCTCAAGAGTGGTATAGAGTGACTCCAGTGACTTCTTATTGGTGCTGCTTAGCCTGAACTGGCTCTTCTAAGGTCTCACTGCAATTCATACATAAAGTTACCGGTGCAGATTTCAACTTTTCCAGACCCAGGAAAGCAACTACTCCCCCTAGAAGGAGAATTTAGAGAGGGCAAGATAGGTTCTAGCATGGGTCAAGACACTATTTGTCTCTTTAAGCCATCCTTGAGAGGTACCATTATCCCAAAATTCTCAGGGTCAGTCTTAATCTTCCCAAAGAGCAAATTTATATCCCGAAGGGGTTTCTCCCTTTCTGCGCAATAATGGATGTACTCCAACAGCGTCTCCAGGTATTTCCTATTCTCTGCAGCCTTTCTTCCTTTAGGAATGTCAAATAACTTGTCAAATTTACCAAGTATATGATGCAATCCAGTTTCTCAGATGCCATCTGGTTAATGTAGTTGAGGTAGCACTCGTGGAGATCAAGATCATGACCATATCCCTCTTTATCTGTGAACTCCATGAAGTTTTGTCCCTCCTCACTTAGATTCTTTTAAGCTTCAAGCGCTACTCAGTGTCAGGAGCCAATTTCCTCCTAAAATCATTACAGGAACCATCACCCTGGGGAGTCTGCAGAGAACCCCGCACCCCTAATTGTGTTAAGAATCGTTCTATTGACAGAGCCTACCCCACACCCAAATTGGCTGTTAGTTGAGAGCTATCTGTTAGCTGAACCCACCCCACATTCCAAACTATCTA